TTAAAAGTCGGGAACGAAAGATCTAATAGAAAATCTACTACTTTTTTAAAAACAGTTAAACTTTGCTTAAAATCGGTGATTAATGGGTTAATATTTAAGTTATACAACGAATGCTTCTATACCAATCTTTCTATATACTTACCGCTAAATTCTTTGCCACGGTATTATGACGCTTTATTCTAGTCTATTAACAAAAACCCCAAAAAGAACTGTGACAACAAAATCAACTAAAGAAAACAATAAGAAACTAATCATCGTCATCATAATCATCAGCAACATACAATTCAAACATATAGACGATAAATAAATAAAAAGTCATGTGTTTGCCAACCCAACGGTCATGAATTGGAAATAAAAAGTATTTTTTTTATATTTACCGAATTTTTTTGTTTATTTTTATTTAACGAAATTTATCATACTATCTTGACTGTGGCTCTCCTTTGCTTTCTTTTATTTGTTTAAAAATTATTTTTGTTATTGTATTTGTTGCTGCTGTTGAATTTTGTATTTTGTTTTATTAAATGCTGTACAACAAAAATAAAACGAACAAAATACTCTTGATAATTTCATTTCATTTTTAAGATTAATGAAATTCTCATAAACTGTTTTCAGTCGACGCGTAGCGCTACCAACGTAAAGATCGTGTAAGAGAGAGAGAAAAATACCAAAAAGTAACAATTATTTTTAAACGCGTCGCAGTTTAAATTTTTTATTTTCATTTATTAATAAATTTTAATAAACGGTTAGTAAAGAGTTGAAAATTACAATTATTAAAAAAGTGCAATATTAAAATTATTACATAAAAAAAGTGAACAAAAAAAATTAAAACAAAACACGTAATGTAGTTGAAATAAAAAATTAAAAAAAAAATATTTTTTAAATATTGAAAAAAAAAACTTAAGAAAAACTTTTTTAAAAAATAAAAAATTTTAAATAATTTTTTAATATTTTTTTTTTAACCAATAAGAACTTTAAATAAACTACAAAAATAAATATTTCTTATGTAACGTCTGTGAAAAAGAAAATTTTCATTTCAATTTTGTACCTTTTGAAAAACGTAACAATTGCTGCAGCAAATAATGCTGCTAGTTCTCAAAAATAGATGAATTAATAGATAATAAAAAACGTAACAGCCTAAACAAATTAGAAATAATTTCAATTTCTAGAAATCTGTAAAAAAGAAAAGCCAAAAAAATGTTTAGATAGATTTTCTTTTAGATTTTATTTTCTCCAATTTCATGTGTTTGTTTGTCTGTCGGTTGGTTGGTATGAGCTGGTGGGCGTTTGTATTAGTGTGTTTATTTTCTTTTTTTATTTATACTTTTCATTTTCTATTTTCCGTTTCTCGGTTTTGTTATGATTTTTCCTCCTTAGTTTTTAGCTTTTATATAATAGCTAAAGAAAAATCGATAATTTTCTTTTGCTTCGCCCTATTGTAACTTATTTCGCAGTTGAATTTTTTAATTATAGCAAATGTTGTTTTTATTTTGATTTAAAGTCTTTTTTATGCCCATTATGTATGCCATCCCTCAATTTTCCCACCCCTTTTAAGGCCAAGGTCAGCATTTGTTTACACTTGAAGAGTTAAAGTGTGGTATTTGTAACTGTTTATATTGTTGACATTTACATGACAGTCGATTACAATTATTAGTTATTTAAGAGCATTTATATAATCTATATTGTTGTTTATCTTTTCTAATTCACGTGACTAAAAAAAAAAATAGTGTAAATATTATTATTAATTTGTTTGTTAGATCTGTTTTGATATTTGTTTTTCATTTTAACACTAGTAAATTAAATATTTATCATATTTGCTTCTTATTGAGAAAATTTCATTATAAAATTATTATATTTGTTCAATATTTATTTTTATTACCAAAATATTCGCGGATGCCGGTTAAAATCTTTCTAAAACTTTTATTTCTTGAAATTTAGAAAAATTTTTATTAGACAAACTTTTATATAGGTAACTTTAATTTTTGTCAAACGTTTCTATAGAAAACTTTTCTGGCAACTTTTCTACCGACAATTTTTTGGTAAATTTTTCAATAGAAAACATTAAAGAACTTAAAAAAAATGGTGGAATACATTTTATTAGAGAAATGTTTTCCTATAGAACACTTTGGGACCAGTTTTTTTCCAAAAAAAAAAGCTTTTTGTCAAACTTTTTGCCAAAACTTTATTTCTATAGAAAACTTTTGACAAACTTTTCTGTAGAAAAATTTTTGGAAAATTTTTTTTGTTACCCACTTTTCCCTAGAAACTTTTTGGTTACCTTTTATATAGGAAACTTTATGTTGAACTTTTCTATAGAAAACTTTGTGGAAAACTTTTTGTTGAACTTTTCTATAGATTTTTTTTTACTTTTTCAATTATAAACTGTTTGACAAACTTTTCTGTAGAAAGCGTTTTGACTAACTTTTCTATAGACAGCTTTTTAACCAGATTTTCTAAAGAAATCTTCTGTTTAACTTTTAAATAGAAAACTTTTTAGCAACTTTTCTGTAGAAAACTTTTTAAGGAACTTTATATAGAAAACTTTTTGATGAACTTTTTCTAAAGAAAACTTTTTAAGGAACTTTTTATATAGAAAATCTTTTGGACGAACTTCTCTAAACAAAAAGAAAACTTTTAAAGGAACTTTTCTATAAACACATTTTTGATAAGCTTTTCTAAAGAAAACTTTTAAGGAACTTTTCTATTAGAAAACTTTTTGACGAACTTCTCTAAAAAAGACTTTTTGAGGGACTTTCCTGTAGAAAACTTTTTTGATGAACTTTTCTATAGAAAACTTTTGATGAACTTTTCTATAGAAAACTTTTTGATAAACTTTTCTATAAAAAACTTTAGAAGAAATTTTTCTATAGAAAACTTTTTGACGAACTTTTGGCAAACTTTACTTTGTAAAAAAGTTTTAATGAATTTTTCTATAAAAATAGTAATTTCGGTTTCCAGCTGCAAAAAAAGCTGGATATATTTCATTACGTTTTTAATGCAAAGTTTTATCTTACAACTCAAGTTTTTGTAGGTTAATATGAAACTTTTCAAAATAGATACTGTTTCAGTTTTTTATATAAACTATTACAAAAACATTTACTATTGTTTTCACACAACTTTGTATTAGGGGAATTTTTTATCTGGTTATGAAATAAACATGATGTTGACAAAAAATTAACTGTAATATCAAAAAATATTCATTATATTGTCACTCACTGTTTGTAACCAACAAAATTTGCAACCGACAGGTTGTCAAGTCTAAACCTTTTCATAATTAAAGGTACTTTATAAGTGTGTTTGATTACATGAACTGATATAATTAAATAATATAAGTAGAGCTATAAATAAATAAAACAGAGGTTCCCAATTAAACAAAAAAGTTGTCTCATCATTGCAACGTTTATGGTATTTCCATGAATTATTAATATTAATTTTTTTTCTATATGTTAAACAAATATTTGATTTCGAATATCCGTACATATCTACTAAATCTTAAAATCCAACAAGTTTAACTACTTGTGATACATTTATATATAAATAATTAGCTTGTACTTGTACAAAAACACAATCTGCGATAAAAATCAATAATAATTAAGACAATGTGTTAGTGTTAGTGAACGCTATGGGAATATTTTGGAAACATTTTATTAAACTTTGTCATACATCACGTCATGATGATATTCGCAATATTTATTAAATAATAATAAAAAAACTTCTCGATAAGAACATGTGATTTAAAACATAAATAGTACTAAACTAAAAAAAAAATGAAATAAAAATAAAAGAAGTCACTTAAGGCAAATTATTATACATATACTATGTGCACGCTTATTAGCTTATCAAAAAATTTATACCAACAACTAGAGCTTAAAAGGCCATTTACCAGACGTTGAACAAAAAAAAAAAAATTGTACTATACCCTATAAAAAAATGAATGAAGTCTGCCAGAAGTGTCATAAATATTTAATTATACTTATATTATGTTATTGTTTAATATTAACTTTATTTCAGTGTTAGTCAGCTATTAAAATATATATTTTTTCTCTTGCGGTTCTTTTTTTAGAATTATTGTTCTATACTAGGTAATTGTTTTTATTTATTTTTTTTGGTGTGTTAAAAACAGGTCTATTAAGGAATTAATTATTTGCTGAGAGAGTAAACAAATTCATTATATTTATATAAGAAAAGTTATTTATAAAACAGTAATGGATTTTAATTAAATTTTTTAAATTAGATTTTTGTTATTTAAGCAAAAAATGCAATTTGTTTAAAACATTTAGAGCTGTATTTGTTACAAGCTTTCTCTTAATTCAATTTAAATACAATCAATTTAGTCGACTTAGTCAGCATTGATTTTTTTTCCTGATATTGTTTTAATTAAAATTGTTTTATCGTCTGTACTTTTTAAACATATCTTTCTTACTTTTTGTTTTTACTTAAAATCTTTATTTATCGATGTGACAAAATATTTTAAACTTTTATAAATATCTTAATAAACTCTTGTAGAAGACATTTCGATGAACTTTTCTATAGCAAACTTATTGATAAACTTTTCTATAGAAAACTTGTCGACAAAACTTTTGTTTAGAAAACGCTTTGATGAAATTTTCTGCAGAAAACTTGTTGAAAACTTTTTCTTTAGGAAACTTTCTATGTAAAATTTTTAGACAAACTTTTATAGAATTTATTAACAACGTTTCGATAGGAAACTTAAAAAAATTTTTTTTGACAAACTTTTCACTAGAAACTTTTAAAAGAACTTTTTTTGTAGAAAACTTTTTATCGATGTTCTCTATAGAAAGCTTTTAGACAAACTTTTCACTAAGGAACTTTCTCTAGTCTTTCTAGAGAAACTTTTTTTATAGGAAGCTTTTAGATCAACTTTTCACTAGGAAACTTTTTTAACAAACTTTTCTGTAGAAAACTTTTTGATGAATTTTTCTGTAAAAAACTTTTTGACAATCTTTTATAGAATTTATTAACAACGTTCGACAGACTTTTCACTAGGAAACTTTTTAAAAGAACTTTTTTTTGTAGAAAACTTTTTGTCTATGTTCTCTATAGGAAGCCTTTAGAGAAGCTTTTCACTAAGGAACTTTCCCTAGTATTTCTAGACAAACTTTTGTATAGAAAGCTTTTAGATAAACTTTTCACTAGGAAACTTTTTTAACAAACTTTTCTGTAGAAAACTTTTTGATGAATTTTTATGTAAAAAACTTTTTGACAAACTTTTCTGTAGAAAACTTTTAAAGAACATTTTTCAGGAAAATTTTTTTAGCACGCTTTTGGGCAAACTTTTCATTAGGAAACTTTAAGAAGAACTTTTCTGTAGAAAACTTTTTGACGAACTTTTCTGTAGAAAATATTTTCACGAACTTCTCTATAGGAATCTTTTGCAAATTTCTTTTTTAGAAAACTTTAAGAAGAACTTTTTAAACTTTAGATAAATTAACTTTTTTTCTATAGAAAACTTGTTGATGAACTTTTGTATAGAAAGCTTTTAGATGAACTTTTCACTAGGAAATCATTAGAAGAACTTTTGTGTAGAAAACTTTTAAAAGAACTTTTCTCTAGAAAACTTATTCCATAGAAAACTTGTTGATAAACTTTTCTATAAAAAACTTCTTTAAAAACTTTTAAAGAACTTTTCTTTAGAAAAAATATTGACAAACTTCTCACTGGGAAACTTTTAGAAAACTTTTTGTCAATGTTTTCTATAGGAAGCTTTTAGATACATTTTTCGTTAGGAAACTTTTAGAAAAACTTTTTTTACAACATTTATTGACGAACTTTTTGGCAAAAAAAACTTTTCAAGAACAATTTTCAGACATTTCGATTGAACATTTTTTCACAAACACTTAAAATTGTTTAAACGGTTTATTATTTCATAGAAATTTAGAAGAAATTAAATATTTAAATAAATCTAAATTCAACTTAACAACACAACAAATTTTTTGGTATAAATCTCTTAAAGTGTCTGGTTTTTCTTAATAACTAATAAAGATATTTGCATAAATATCAACACACGATAATTTCTTTCAACATAAATACAAAATTTAAATATGTATTTGTAGTTTTTTTTCACTTCCAGCGTCAAGCCATCACATTGACGTAATTTGTTTCTTTATTTATTCAAACTCTATATTATCAATATATTAGTTTAAACTTTTAAATATAATGACTAATACATTATACTTTTACTTTTCCTTGTGTGTGAGTTTTTTTTTTTTTTTGTATAAAACAAATTAAAAAAACAAGCAAATTTAATAAACTACAGGTTTTTTTTATTAGTTCGTTTACTTTTTGTGTAAAAGTGATTTTTGTTAAATTTTACAAAAAAAACTTAACGAATATTGTTAAAAAAAATATAAAAAAATTAACGAAAAAATTCAAAAAGTTTGTTAATTTTAACTTAAAAAGTTTAAAATATTGGAATACGTGAATATTATCACAAAGCAATTTGTTACAAATTGAAAGTTTAAAAGAATTATAAAATTTATATAATTTGTTTAGGTTATCTAATGCATTTTCAATTATCATAACTGTTTAAACTAAATTTTATTTATTTTCTAAAGTAATTATGCATTAGAATAAATAATAAAAATAATAACTACGTCACTTAATACTTAAAAAATTTAATTATAATCTCAACAAAAACAACCGGTCTTTTTCAATACTCTTTCCTGTTATAGAGACCCTGACATACAATAACAATTCCATATTTCTTATATTTGGATAAAATCTAAAACCATTTGTTGCCAATTAAATTTTTAAGCTTATTTTTTGTTGATTTAGCATTCTATCTCTTTCATATTTTTTGGGGAATTCGAACTTGTGAATGAATTAATGAAATAATTCTGAAAACAACCTTCTCACGTGATTATGACGTTATTTGTTTAGTTATTTCTTTATTTTATTTTTATAAACTTCTAGATAAAAATGAAACAAAATTTTTTGTTTTATAAATATGTAGTCTACATTTTTTTTTATTTTGCTGTTTTTTACTAAATGCGCAATTTTGTGTTCTTGGTTTTAATTTTGACGTATAATATTTGTTTAATTTGAAAAATGGGTAAATTTTGTTATCTCTCTTTCGGTTGGTGGTTTTTAACTGTGTTTTGTTGCTTTGTCTTTATGGCGAATTGCGTAAACAAATAATGTCTTGGCGAAACTCTTTTTTTTTGTGAAATGTAGATTCATTATTAAACCATTTGTTGTTTTCAAGATAAATTTTCAAGGTTTTAATTGTGTGAAAATTTGATGTGCAAAATATTAACTGATGTAGTCACTAATTAAAAAGGTTTGATGTTAAATTAAAATTACTTGAAATTACTAGAACTGAACTAGAACTGAACCAGAACTGAGCCAGAATTAGAACTGAACTAGAATTGAACTAGAATTGAACTAGAATTGAACTAGAACTGAACTAGAACTGAACTAGAGCTGAACTAGAACTGAACTAGAACTTAACTAGAACTGAACTAGAACTGAACTAGAACTGAACTAGAACTGAACTAGAACTGAACTAGAACTGAACTAGAACTGAACTAGAACTGAACTAGAACTGAACTAGAACTGAACTAGAACTGAACTAGAACTGAACTAGAACTGAACTAGAACTGAACTAGAACTGAACTAGAACTGAACTAGAACTGAACTAGAACTGAACTAGAACTGAACTAGAACTGAACTAGAACTGAACTAGAACTGAACTAGAACTGAACTAGAACTGAACTAGAACTGAACTAGAACTGAACTAGAACTGAACTAGAACTGAACTAGAACTGAACTAGAACTGAACTAGAACTGAACTAGAACTGAACTAGAACTGAACTAGAACTGAACTAGAACTGAACTAGAACTGAACTAGAACTGAACTAGAACTGAACTAGAACTGAACTAGAACTGAACTAGAACTGAACTAGAACTGAACTAGAACTGAACTAGAACTGAACTAGAACTGAACTAGAACTGAACTAGAACTAAACTAGAACTGAACTAGAACTGAACTAGAACTGAACTAGAACTGAACTAGAACTGAACTAGAACTAAACTAGAACTGAACTAGAACTGAACTGAAATAGAACTGAACTGAACTAGAACTGAACAAGAACTGAACAAGAACTGAACAAGAACTGAACAAGAACTAGAACTGAACAAGAACTGAACTAGAACTGAACTGAACTAGAACTGAACTAGAACTGAACTGAACTAGAACTGAACTAGAACTGAACTAGAACTGAACTAGAACTGAACTAGAACTGAACTAGAACTGAACTAGAACTGAACTAGAACTGAACTAGAACTGAACTAGAACTGAACTAGAATTGAACTAGAACTGAACTAGAACTGAACTAGAACTGAACTAGAACTGAACCAGAACTGAACTAGAACTGAACTAGAACTGAACTAGAACTGAAGTAGAACTGAACTAGAACTGAACTAGAACTGAACTAGAACTGGACTAGAACAGAACTAGAACTGAACTAGAACTGAACTAGAACTGAACTAGAACTGAACTAGAACTGAACTAGAACTGAACTAGAACTGAACTAGAACTGAACTAGAACTGAACTAGAACTGAACTAGAACTGAACTTGAACTGAACTAGAACAGAACTAGAACTGAACTAGAACTGAAGTAGAACTAAACTAGAACTGAACTAGAACTGAACTAGAACTGAACTAGAACTGAACTAGAACTAAACTAGAACTGAACTAGAACTGAACTAGAACTGAACTAGAACTGAACTAGAACTGAACTAGAACTGAACTAGAACTGAACTAGAACTGAACTAGAACTGAACTAGAACTGAACTAGACTGAACTAGAACTGAACTAGACTGAACTAGAACTGACACTAGAATTTTTGAACTAGAACCAACTAGAACTGAACTATAACTGAACTAGTACTGAACTAAACTGAACTAGACTGAACTAGAACTGAACTAGAACTGAACTAGAACTGAACTAGAACTTAACTAGAACTGAACTAGAACTGAACTAGAACTGAACTAGAACTGAACTAGAACTAACTAGACCTGAACTAGAACTGCACTAGAACTGACTAGAACTGAACTAGAACTGAACTAGAACTGAACTATAACTGAACTAGAACTGAACGAGAACCGAACTAGAACTGAACCTAAAATGAACTAGAACTGGAATAGAAACTGCACTATAACTGGACTAGAACTGAACTAGAACTGAACTAGAACTGAACTAGAAATGACTAGAACTAGAGCTGGACTAGAACTGAACTAGAACTAAACCAAACTGGTTAGTTAAAATAAATAAAAACACTATTTATTAAACAACTCTTTATAATTTTACTCTAACAATGAAAATTTTTACCAAATATTAGACAAACATAAATAAAACATTATTTACACAAATATTTTATAATTTGCCACAACAGCAGACGTTCAAGTTATAAAATTGTACTTGATTTTGTTTTAATTAAATGTCTACAACAATAAAACTAATTCAAATTTTATTTTTTTATATACTTGCAGTTAGAAATTCAAAGCCATAATGCATAGAGCTAATACAGCCTTTAATTTGGCGTTATCGCCAATGGCACATAAAAATTTTGCAACATGGCTTTTAAATGGAGCCAACAAGAAGGTAATTATTATAGAAAATATAATGAAAATAGTTATAAATATTAATTAATTTATTTAAAATATTAAACAGATTATTAAAAATGCTATGGCTGCTGCTGCTGTACGTTGTTACAACTCAGCTGCTGCTGAGCCTTTTGCAAATGGTACCACAGCTTCTTATGTAGAAGAAATGTACAATAATTGGTTGCGTGATCCCACCTCTGTACACACAGTAAGTTTTACTTAGAATATATTTTTGAAATATATTTTCTTATTAATTTTCTTTGATTTTATAGTCCTGGGATGCCTATTTCCGCAATAACTCTTACTGTGGTCCCCCAAATCTAGCTCCTCAACAATACAACACTCTACCCGTTTCAGCTTATGCTGGTATGGTTAGCGGTGCTGCTCCCGACTCTAAAACTATCGATGATCATTTAGCTGTTCAAGCTATTATCAGAAGTTATCAGGTATGTTTTTAGTTTTTTATCTTGTTTATGTTTCTAAAGCTATTTATATTTCTTTATTATTAAATTCTTTTTACACTTAATGGGGTTTTTAATTATATAATAGTTTGAGTATTTGTATTACGTTTATAAATTAGTTTTGTTTATGATTTATTTACTATTTGTTAATTTATTGTCATTTTTAGTTAGTTATTTTCTTTTCTCTGATATTGCAACAAAACAAAATCCATAACCTACACTTCAATTTTTTTTATTCTATTTTTATTAGTTATTTAGTTGGTAGTAGAAATTATTCAGAATTTAAAACACACTTATCACGAAATATCAGTTTTGTAGGTTTTAGTCAGATGTTTGCAATTTATTTTATTCTTTTCCATTGAACAGCGCAACCATTAACTCCAGTATTTTCCAAACACATTTTTGTGTATGTAAGCACAGCAATTTGTTATTTTCTTTAATAATTTTCTGATATGCAATACAAATTCATGTTTTCCGCTATTTCCTGTAACAAATCTGACTAATGTTATCATTTAAATATTAAAAGTCCACATAATTTTAATTCTCTATTTAAGTAGTTTGTAGCAAATTTAATAAAAAACCTTTAAAAATTCACAAATTCTGAATAATTTCCCTTAAATTTTTGCACTTAAGTAATAAACCCTTTTTAATAATTTTTATATAGGGTGTATATCTTAAAAATGCGTAATTTTTTTTAATGTTTAGTTTTTATTTTGAAAAGTATGTATAATATGAATTTATTCAGAGTATAGGGCACACTGTTAGCTATGGCCTTTTCTCATCTATCTCGCAATATATGGATTCCGTGCCGAAATAACTGCTTATAACTGCGAACCCCAGAGAGATCTAGAAAAGAATTAAAATAGAGTTAGAACAAAGCTAGAACATAATTAGAACAGAAGTAGAATAGAACTAGAACTGAACTAGAACAGAACTAGAACAGAACTAGAACAGAACTAGAACAGAACTAGAACAGAACTAGAACAGAACTAGAACAGAACTAGAACAGAACTAGAACATAACTAGAACAGAACTAGAACAGAACTAGAACAGAACTAGAACAGAACTAGAACAGAACTAGAACAGAACTAGAACAGAACTAGAACAGAACTAGAACAGAACTAGAACAGAACTAGAACAGAACTAGAACAGAACTAGAACTGAACTAGAACAGAAATAGAACAGACCTAGAACAGAACTAGAACAGAACTAGAACAGAACTAGAACAAAATTAGAACTGAACTAGAACTGAACTAGAACATAACTAAAACAGAACTAAAACAGAACTAAAACAGAACTAGAACAGAACTAGAACAGAACTAGAACAGAACTAGAACAAAACTAGAACGGAACTAGAACAGAACTAGATCAGAACTAGAACAGAACTAGAACAGAACTAGAACAGAACTAGATCAGAACTAGAACAGAACTAGAACAGAATTAGAACAGAACTAGAACAGAGCTAGAACTGAACTAGAACAGAACTAGAACAGAACTAGAACAGAACTAGAACAGAACTAGAACAGAACTAGAACAGAACTAGAACAGAACTAGAACAGAACTAGAACAGAACTAGAACAGAACTAGAACAGAACTAGAACAGAACTAGAACAGAACTAGAACAGAACTAGAACAGAACTAGAACAGAACTAGAACCGAACTAGAACAGAACAGAACTAGAACAGAACTAGAACAGAACTAGAACAGAACTAGAACAGAACTAGAACAGAACTAGAACAAAATTAGAACTGAACTAGAACTGAACTAGAACATAACTAAAACAGAACTAGAACAGAACTAGAACAGAACTAGAACAGAACTAGAACAGAACTAGAACAGAACTGGAACAGAACTGGAACAGAACTGGAACAGAACTAGAACAGAACTAGAACCGAACTAGAACCGAACTAGAACAGAACTAGAACTGAACTAGAACAGAACTAGAACAGAACTAGAACAGAACTAGAACAGAACTAGAACAGAACTAGAACAGAACTAGAACAGAACTAGAACAGAACTAGAACAAAACTAGAACAGAACTAGAACAGAACTAGAACAGAACTAGAACAGAACTAGAACAGAACTAGAACAGAACTAGAACAGAACTAGAACAGAACTAGAACAGAACTAGAACAGAACTAGAACAGAACTAGAACAGAACTAGAACAGAACTAGAACAGAACTAGAACAGAACTAGAACAGAACTAGAACAGAACTAGAACAGAACTATAACAGAACTATAACAGAACTATAACAGAACTATAACAGAACTAGAACTGAACTAGAACAGAACTAGAACCGAACTAGAACCGAACTAGAACCGAACTAGAACAGAACTAGAACAGAACTAGAACAGAACTAGAACAGAACTAGAACAGAACTAGAACAGAACTAGAACAGAACTAGAACAGAACTAGAACAGAACTAGAACAGAACTAGAACTAGAACAGAACTTGAACTAGAACTGAACTAGAACTGAACTAGAACTGAACTAGAACAGAACTATAACAGAACTATAACAGAACTAGAACTGAACTAGAACCGAACTAGAACCGAACTAGAACCGAACTAGAACCGAACTAGAACCGAACTAGAACCGAACTAGAACAGAACTAGAACAGAACTAGAACAGAACTAGAACTGAACTAGAACTGAACTAGAACAGAAATAGAACAGAACTAGAATAAAATTTTAAATAAAGTAGTGCATTTACCAGCCAGTCGACTCGTCTATGGAATAGTCTTTCAAGGTCTCCCAGCTTCAATTCGTATGGTAACCAATTTCCTCGCTTTTGGATGAATTCTGCTGATCACAAACGTTTTGAAATTCCTACTTGAGTTGATCCTAGTGATTACTTAGTCTTCCGTGTCTAAATCAAGAAAAAAAAATATATATGTATATCTTAAAGATAATAGAAAAAAGAAAAATCTGCTTTCAAAACAATATTCTCCATTCCTGGCGAATCTCTCATTTTTAGGTTATACACCCAATATTTACATATATGTAATAAATTAACAATTTTTGAAATCCTTTAAGGGCTAATTTTAATAACACTATTATTATTACCTTTAAACTTAACAAAAGTATACGTAAAAGTTTAATTGGCTTAATTAAAAATAAAAATGTTTTGTCTAAATCTAAAATTAATAAAAATGTATTACTAATAATTGGCTAACAAAAATCAACTGTCAAAATTTGTTATAATTAATCCTCTAAGTATTAACTTTATACGTATATGTAAACATTCCAAACAACTACACACCTATTCCTTTATCTCTTGACTACTTAAAAATAATAAACAAAAACATATAAAAAGAAAATCCATTATCCTGCTATACATATTTGTTGTTTTATCTATATATATCCTGCTACCATTGTGTTCATATAATATAGTCTCGTGGTCATTTGGCTTCTGAATTGGATCCCATGGGAATTCTAACTGTTGAAAAGGTCAGGGGTAAGGATGGTGTTACCCGTCGCGCTAACGAAGATGTTTTACGTCAACATTCTGGTTTTTTGTTTGGTAATTTTTTCATTTTACTTTTATTTAAAAAAAAGATATTTAAAAATCGTTTTATCTATAGCAGTTTGGCAAAATGCATAGAAACAGAAAACGATCTGAAAAGAAAAAAAAAAAAATACAATGAATATTAACTTTAAACTGAAATTCGGAGTGTTATTTATAAAGTTATTTTAGTTAATATCAGCCTTTGATTAAAATCACTTGTCGACTGTT